CTGAAATTTACTCGGAAAAAATTTTTACGGGAAATTAACAAACGACCAGAGACATAACAATATAATTAATATACATATACAGAACATGATAGTAAGCAGAAATATTATACAAAATGCATTAAGAAGAACGCCTAATACGAAATATAGATATATATTTCTGATTAAACATATTAATGTGTTCTGTGTATTATACGACATCGCATATATTTTATTTATCTTGTACATTGCCTTGTCTTGTGCATTGTAATATAAATACTGCGTACAAAGTGTTGTTTTTTTCGTATTAGCAGGTTTCCTAGCCACTGGCTACATATTTTAATATTTAAAAATATAAATTTACAATGTTTGTTAAGATCAGTTAGCTTTTAATTTTCTTAATTTTGATCAAACACGCAATAATATGGTATGCCGTCATACCACGCACTTTTTAGTTTATTATTTTAACGTGAAAGTTTTCTAATTTTTCTTTGACTCCAGGACTTTGCAGTTTCTGGATGATAAATAATTCGTTGATTCGTTCTAGCTACCTTTGTTCTTCGTCATTCCTTGTAAATAACACTTGGCATAGCTGCAAATTTAAACTTTATGCATGAAGGTCAACAACGGTCAGATGATATCTCGAGATTACAATCTCCCTTATGTTTGAATGGTAACGAACAGTTATGTAGTAGCGCTAGTTGCTCTGGGTGGACCTGAAGCTACCAACTTAAATAAGTGTCGTGAGATTTTGTCTGAAAATCATCTTTAGTGAGAAATTCAGTTTGGAACTAAGTTTCGATGGAGTATAGCTAACCTGATACCTTCACAACTCCAGTAAAGGCAACTTTCCATCGTCCATAAGATGAATTACACGCACTGTTAATTTGTGTTGTGTAAATAAAGATTTGTTCATTGTTCATTACACTTTGTGCCCAGTCCGTTTATTTCTTAGCATAGACTCAATTAATTTTAGTGGAACTTGCTGTTACTTTACAATATATCTTGCTGACCCTCCCATTATATAGCACATACTTAATTTACTCTTTCGACAAACCTTTTTAACTGAAATTGCCAAATATATATATCTATATATTGTTAGTTGTGAATAATAATAATAATAATAAGACAAGATAAAGAATTAATGACTCTATTTCGATCTGATAGATGATGAGGTTGTAAATAACATTTACAAACTCGATTAAATACTACTATACAAGCCATTATCATTTTCGCTATGACATTGATATTTGAATATAGATTTAAACTTCATATTCCATAAAATTCTTCTTAATAATGGCTTGATCTCCACTAAAGTTTCTAGATAAAATACCTATCGAATTTTTTATATTTGTATATAAGGGCTGTTTTCGTTGTTGTTTCTTTTTTAACATAATTTTACCATTCACGCGTACAACTACACATACGCCCACACATGTACTTACAGTTTATACAGTAATAATGTTGTCCATCAACTGTGAAGTATCGTGAAGTTATCAACATAGGACGTTGAGGTTGTGCTGTTAGGAATAAAGAATAAGATAGTTATGCTAAACACAGGTGTAAAATAACATTAAAGCTTGTTATTAATAAATAGGATCAAAAACAGACACTGATAGAACATTTTAATTAACTTTTGAACATGGTAGCAAGGAAAAGGAGATTGTAAGGTGTTAATAGAACAAACTATGGCTAAGTCTCCTTTAGTTGTCAGTTTAAAAGCAAGCTCTTGTTAACTCGAAAGTGAAAGACATCACAGTTAATTCGTTTTCTTGTTTTATTAGCATAAATGTTAATAGAATACGAAATGAAAGCATTGCACCAGAGTAGTACTCCCGCCTTTTTAATTAATTAAATGAAGAGGCGTTTTACACAATGGAAACGGTAAAAATGTATATTATATAAATTGCTATTATTAAAGAGGTCTCGTTTCTATAATTATTTTGTAACAGATGAGCCAGAACAGGGACACTTACTTTTTTTAATATATAAAATTGCATTTATGTGATGTGATCCAAAATAAATATATTATAATTGAAAATAAAGGAGCGTCCATTATACAAAATGAACAATAACATAGAGAGAGAACTTATCTCCAACGATTTTCACAATTACAGCCCTGTCTGTATTTTGTTATTCATAGGACACAAAGAATATAAGTTGTAAAACTATTCTAAAATCGATTAAGTCCCCAACTACTGATTGATTATCTAAGTCACAATTTTGTGCCTCTCTAAATACAAAGGTTAGACATAAAAATATAAACACTAACTAGTTTTAGTTTCAATAAGTATTCAAACATCTTCTCATAAACGCACAAACACTGAACTTTCAAATAAAATTCAGTCTTATTCCCATTTATATATATAATATATTTTTATGTAAATATTAGGTATCTTTGATGTGTTTCAGTTCTAGAAATGTCTTCCAGAAAAGATCTTAACAAATAACGAAAAAGGAATGAAAGAATCCATTTAGCGAATGCAAATGTAACCAGAATTGTGCAGACATCCTCAAAAATGCCAACAGTAGCAGAAAGATCATGAAGGACGACCAGGATGATGTAAAATGAGCCTCATTGTGAAACAAAAGAGAAAGATAACAAAAAACAAAGTATATTCAGAGTTCGATGCTGAATCCCAGCAATAAGTGTCAGAGAAAACTGACCTACACAAGTTCAGTCATTTGAGAAGTGTGATAAAGAAGCTATAAACTGGCCATTTATTAAGACAGATACGTAAGTTTGCGCATGCAATGATGTGGTGGAAACATTCATTACTCTGATACCTAAGTACGCGCATGCAACAATGTGGTGATAACAAGCCGTGTGCTTGGAAACGGTGATTTGGTCAAACAAAAAATTCACCTTCTTCTTATGCGATGAATGTGAGTTTTTGTGGAGAAAGTAAAGGGGAATGTACACATTGGAATGCTTTATTTCAACTGTAAGGGGGTGCAGGTGGTTCCATTATGGGGTGGGCCACGAGATGACCTTAAGAAAATTTGGTTTTATAAGCTCATAAGATCATAAAAGTTGAATTACGTTACGATATCAGTTCACACTGGACAGCAAAACTCGGACACTACACATCAGAAAAATTTGAGTCTATTTTGTCCATTCTACCAGCAAGAGAAACTATTAAGTAGAAAATATATCGTATTCAGAGCAACTAAGTACATATTATGTAATTAATACTTGAAACCGTCAGTTCTTGGTTAAACTCCATAATTACGGAATTGACGAAAACAAGGACGTACGGTTCACATACGTTTCACTTATTGGGACCATGGTTTCGCCAATACCTGATGATACCATTACTTGCGAAACCGTGTTAGAAATAAATAAAATGTTTGTGAAACGTACAATTGTCTATGTTTCCCTCAATTCCGTAAATGCGTATTGATACAGACGTTTCTCTATGTACTTTATATAAATATTATACACATAACTGATTTTTGCTTTATCCTCTCCTTTAACCTAATCCTAAAGCGAAGCTGAATCTTATGATTTTTTTATAAAATATTTAAGTTATTTGTCAATGTTAACATCAGTAATATTATACCCAACTTCAACAAGTTTCTTTATTATTTCAAAATTTTTTGGTCACTTAGTAAAAAAAAAAGAAAGATATATACGTAAGAATAGATGCAGTTAATATCATGAAAGGTTTACACGTATATGGATATATAAACTTTCTTTAACCTTTCGATTACCAACGTAGGTAGGTATCCATATCTAATGTGGTTTCATGACATAATTATACATTTCAATTTACGCAAAAAAGTTTTACTAACGTTGTATAAGAAGTATATATTGACCTTTGGATACACAATTCACCTATCCTTTCAACACACATCTGTTTGATATTTTGGTAAATGAAGGGTTAAAAAAAGCATATTACCGCAAGAAACAAGAAGATAGAAATCCAAAGACAACATCAGCAGTGGTACCATGTAGGGAAGATTGAGTGCAATCAATACAAAGTAGCTGCTTTGGTATCAAACAACTGTAATTCTTCCTGGAAAAATACACAACAGATACTCTATTCAAGGTTATGGCCCACCACAATATTTTCGTGAGATGGCGCCACTGAACATAAATTTCAGATAATCACCGGAAAGCAGAAACGCATGATGTGAAATTAACTAATTCAAAATGAGCTAGCATTGAAATTTATTGTAAGTCATACCAAGAAGAAAGCGGAAGTCACTTTTACACTACCAGACTTTGCCTAAGGTTTACGAGGGCTATCTGCGCTAGCCGTCCCTAATTTAGCAGTGTAAGACTAGAGGGAAGGCAGTCATCACCGACCCACCGCCAACTCTTTGGCTACTCTTTTTACCAACGAATAGGGGAATTGACAGTCACATATAACGTCCCCAGGTCTGAAAGGGCAAGAATGTTTGGTGGGACGGGAATTCGAACCCACGACCCTCAGATTGCGAGCAAATGTAAAATAGAAGAATATCGTCAAGACACATCTACTTATGTAAAAGCCCAACCAAGACCTTTGAAGAAGAAGCTAAAAATAATAATGAAACATCAAAAAGAATGAAGTACTTTGTGAAAGATTAAGGTATGTATTAGAAACTGGGGGTTGTATTCTTTGTTAAACAAAAGACAAATAAAACGCGACCTATTTCTCCAGAAAACATAACTGGTTTTAAATATTACAAAGAGCTAATTCCCAATCTATCAAAATAAGGAGAACAATGCAATACAAACTCGTGAACGCATCCGTGAAAAATACAGACTGTTAACCAAATTAAACAAAACTATTTCTCAACAATAGCAAAATTTTGACTAAAAACATTATGAAGTAATTTTCTGATTTATTAATAATTTTGTCATAGAACACGGAAAAAAGAGTAACTGACAGACATACAGTGTAAAAAAATAAATAAAAAACAGCAACTCGTTTTTAAGGTTTAAATTATGCTATTTCACTCTAACATATCAACCATTAGGCCATTCACTCCCACAATGGTTAACTTTACGTTTTCTAGCTTTTCTCTGATTGAACTTGTCTTTCACGTGACTTTACTTTTACTCTGTTTTAGCTGGTCTGGTCGAAGCTATTTATACGTCTATCGTTTAGGCCTTCTAGAAATCTCCATAGCTTCGAAATTAATGAATTACAAACACAAAACAAAATTACTAATAATACTACCTACACTAAACAGTCTTTTATATCTGACAATAAACCCTTCTTTAAGAGAAATATTTACAATATGTTTTTTACACAATATACAAAGACTGTTCTTAGTTCATATACTATGTCTTCTCAGATAGTTTACACCAACATTTACAGTTCCTTTGTCTTTCTCTTCTGATGTAGGATCTCCAATAGGGTTTCACTTTAAGGGGATCCCTTGTATTCATCTTGATCTTGTGTTGTCTGCATTTCCTAATCTATCTGTATACTGACAGAGTTGATTTTGTTCCTCTTTCTTCTTCTTACCAGTCAGTTCGTCACTGATGTTGACATCCTTGTACGTCTCATCTCCACCCAGTGCTCTTAGCCCTAGTAGGTCCTTATCTTCTATAACGAATTCATTGTCTTCATATTCTGCTTATATGACAGCTACACCTACTATGTCCATTTGTATATCAATAACTGCACCTGTAAGGTCTTCTTCTCTTTCGAAGTACCTCTTCAACAGATTGGTGTGAAATATCATGGTTGTCCCATCAACTTTCACTTTATACTGCAATCTGTGGACCACCTTTCCACTGCCAGGTGAGTTTATTGTTGTCTGTAGATAGCATAACTAAAACCTTCTGCCTGACCTTGAAATTCGACCCTTGTTATAGAAGCGTCTCTGACTTTCTTTGGGTTTGGCTTCCCCAGTACAACTGTTTTGATAAGTCCGGCTCAATACTACTTTTCGGTCCTCTGTTTTGTATGTCTCTTTCTTACTTGTCTTGTGCTTAACTTCTTCTTGGGCATTGTCCCAAAGTTTCTGTGGTGAAGGATCTTTTTCTGTACTTCTCTCAAATTTTTACTATCTGGTATCATTCCTATCGCCAATTTGTATATTGGTTCCTTGATACAGATGGCCTCAAGGTCTCGTACATAATATGGAGTATCCACCTTTATTTTTGCTATGAGATACTTTCTCACTGTCCCATCAATTAGCACACACAGGCGTACCTTGACTGTCATCTGATCATCATATACTAGACTGGTTCTCACTTCTGCACTACTGCACTCAGTATCTCGTAGAACCTTCAATTTCTTGTCCCCAACATATAATTTGCATATTGGAATGTTGTGATTTGGTATCACCTCTTGATGTTTGTCACACACTCCAAGCACTACTTGCACTGTTGATCCATTTGCTAACTAGAGCTTACCACTGATCAATCATGGAATTGACACTTCCTTCTTGTGGTGACGCTGACGTATTTTCTTGATTCTGTTTTTTTCTGGCAATAGTATCTATGGTGCCAGTCGCTCTCTTCCAGTTTCTTACCAGCACTGTCTTTGTACATAGCTTCAGCTGCTTTATGTGGGGG